TTTGATAGAACTGAGACTGGAAGAGATGACACTTTTGTGATCTCATCAAAGATCTAAGTGAAGGAAAATGGGCTAGTGGACTTTGTTAGGAAGACCAATGTGCTCCTAGCTCCTTAATGGGGCAATCCATGATCTCTGTGCTTATCTTAATGATGTTTATAACCTGGTGCTGACAATCAATCCTCAGAATTGTGATATCTATGGAACTTGAACTTTCCTGATTTTTACAATAGATATAATAAAACTAATCATCGGATACTTGGGATGTACTTTGGAATCACCATAAGAATATGTCTCTGGGGGCAGCTAGGTGGCACAGTGGATAGAGCACCAATCCTAAAGTCAGGAGAGCCTGAGTTCAAATCCTGCCTCAGACCAAACACTTGACACTTACTAGCTGTGTGACTCTGGGCAAGTCACTTAACCCCAATTGCCTAAAAAAAAAAAAAAAGAATGTGTCTCTAATACCCACCATTCAAGATCCTTTGTAACTCCAACACTGTTGCAGAGTGACCTTAGTTTATTTCACATTTCATGAATGAATCTATTAGCCATTAGAAGCAATCTATAAATTACCTATTTGCTTCTAAGTGAAATTAAGTTTTAGTTTTAATTTAGGAAATAAAAGTCTAGGAACATTAACTTTGATCTGTTAAAATATCTGGGTCTTTATTCTTATTAGTGCCTTAGTCTCTCTATGGAACTAAATTAAATCCTAAGGGGGAGGAGGAAGGGAATGAGCATTTATACAGCACCTACTGTGTGCCATATCGTGTGCTAAACACTTTAAAAATATTATCATATTTGATCCTCATACAAACCCTGGGAGGTAGATGCTATTGTTAGCACCCAAGTTTTCTGTCTCTGAATCCAATGTTTCTTCCATAACACAGTGCTGCCTTGAAGGGGTCGGGGGGTTGGATGTGAGGTCTCAGTTTCCCCATCTGTAAAATGGGGATTGGGCAGCTAGGTGCCACAGTATGTAGAGCACTGGACCTGGAGTCAGGAAGACTTGAGTTCAAAATTGGCTATGTGACTCTGGGCAAGTCACTTAACCCCGTTTGCCTCAGTTTCCTCTTCTGTCAAATGAGTGAAGAAGGAAATGGCAAACCACTTCAGTATCTTTGCCAAGAAAACCCAAAGTGGGTCACAGAGAGTCGAACATGATTGAAACAACAACAAAATGGGGATGATAATTCTTTTTTTTTTTTTTAAGGCAATTGGGGTTAAGTGACTTGCCCAGGGTCACACAACTAGTGAATGTCAAGTGTTTGGTCTGAGGCCGGATTTGAATTCAGGTCCTCCTGACTTCAGAGCCGGTGCTCTATCCACTATGCCACCTAGCTGCCCCCGTAATAATAATTCTTATAGTACTTACCTCACTGGGGCTTTATGGATTAAACAAGATATTGTATGTAAAGTGCTTTATAGGCCTTGTAATAGTGTTAAAATGTCAGTTATTATTATTATTATTATTACTGTTCCTTTCACTATCTTTCTCAGTGATACATTTATCTAATTATCTAACTTTGACCTTTTAACAGCTAGATGGGTAGAGGGCTAGCTCTCTAGACTCTGGAAGACCAGATTCTACCTAATATATTTTCTAGCCATGTGACCCTGGGCAAGTTACTTCACTTCTGCCTGCCTCAGTTTCCTCATCTGTAAAATGGGAATAAAAATAATAGCACTTACCTCCTTAAGGTTGCCGCAAGGATCAAATGACGTAACATACATAGTGTTTTGTATACTTTAAAGTACTATATACTTGCTAGCTATTTTTGTAATTGTTAACATTTTTATTACCAGACTGTTTCTCTAATCTCCTTCCAATCCTGGTTTGCTGAAAAGAGTCTTTATTCTAACCAATTTTTTTTGTTAGACAATGGGGTTAAGTGACTTGCCCAGGGTCACACAGCTAGTAAGTGTTATGTGTCTGAGGCCGAATTTGAATTCAGGTCCTTCTGAATCCAGGGCGGGTCCTCTATCCACTGCGCCACCTAGCTGCTCCTATTCTAACCATTTCTATTACCCAAGTCCTTTCATGATACCTTCGTTAATGAACAGAAGGAGAGAGAACACACTTTTCTGAGCCTTATCCTTTCTAAACATCCAGCAGTAAAGACTCCTCTTTTACCTGACACCCCACCATCGGCACTGACCTCTTTGCTTATGGGAAATAGCAATATGTGTTTCGTTCATTCAATTCTTTCAGCCTTATTCCTATCCTCTCTATATATCCTTGAGATTCAATGTGGCATAAGAGATGGAATGCTTGAACTGGAGTCGGGAAGAAGTGGGTTAAGATGTCACCTGAGATACTTTGTAGTTACATTAACATGGGCAGGTCCATTCATCTCTTGTGCCATGTCACTTGACCTCAGTTTCCTTCTCTGTAGTCTAAAGTCCCATTGCACTCCAAAGCTCAACTTGTGGTTTATATCTCCTTACCATCCATCCATTGGAGTCATAAAACCACAGGATAATAGAATAAGAAGGAACTTTGGAGCGCCTCTTCCCCAAGATAAAGTAATTAAACTAAGTTATTGTTTTGGACTGGAAGGTGTTAGAGAAGTAATTAGAAGATGATATCTGTTAAACCCAATCTGTCTCACAAGTAGAATTGGAGGATTTGGTGTTAGGTGAGACCTTAGAAGTGTATTACATTAGAAAGATCATGGGATTTGGTGTTGGAGGATCTGAGTTTGAATTCTGGCTATTCTGCTACCTACCTGTGTGACCCTGAGTAAATCACATAGAGCTTCGTTTTCCTTCTCCATAGAATGTGGGGCATGGCCCCAGGTGATCTCTCAGGTTCGGTCCGGTTCTAAATCCTTTGATCTGGGAGATCATCTATTCCAAACCTCTCATCTTTCAAGAAAGGAAACTGAGGCTCAGAGAAATGTACTCATCTGCTCAAGCTCACAGGTCCTCAGACTCCAAATCGAGTACTCTGCACTGTGACTATATTTGTTTCATGACAATTTCTGAAGTTTGAAATGTAACTTTCAAGCAGCTATGGCACCATACCATTTTATGAAGATGCTTTTGTTTTTCTTGTTTTTGCAGTCACTGGATTCGATCTGTGGGGCGCGGTCATTGCCACTGGGGTGGTCTGCACTTTCTACTGCACGATGGTACGCTCACTCATCCCCTGTTTCTACAGGAACACTGCTTGTTGGCTTTGCATAATTTAAATTTCCAGTAGACAGGCACTGTTCCCTTTACAACAGAAAATTGATTGCCCATATTTCTTTAATTACACCAGAAGGATGGTCAAGTCGGAATTATTCAGGGAAAAAACAAAAGAAAACATTTATTGCTTGTTCCTCAGTTTCACTTGATTCTTTGGCAGAAGTAGAGGGGGCAGGGTGGGGGAATAGGGCTGGGAGGTGGAATAGGGAAGAATATTTGGGGGAAGAAATCTTGGATACAGTGCTATGCTCTGACCTGATGGGGCAGTGTGGTGGGAAGAATGCTGGATTCCAAGTCAGGAAATCTGGGTTCAAATCCTAGCTCTGTCATTTGCTAGCTATATAACCCTGAGCAAGCCACTTATAATAATATAAGTGGGTCTCAGTTTCCTCACTTGTAAAACAAGGGGATGGACTGAATGACTTCTAAAAGCTTTTCCAGGTCTAAATCTATAATCTTGTCATCAGAATGGTAATACTCCAAATGAACTTACCCCCTATCTATGATCTTGTCATCAAAATGATAATACTCCAAATGTATTTTTTCCCAATGAAGGGTGGTCTCAAAGCTGTTGTCTGGACAGATGTTTTCCAAGTTGGCATCATGGTGGCAGGATTTGTATCTGTGATCGTACAGGCTACTGTGGTTCAAGGTGGGATCCACAATATTCTAAATGATTCCTATTATGGAGGAAGATTGAACTTCTGGGAGTAAGTTTCTATTTATCCTTTATGTTATTTGTTATTTGTCAGTCAATAAGCAGAATAAATTTTCAATAGAAACACAGTAGCCTTTAAAATAGTAGTTCAGATGGCATGCAAGTAGAAGATGGTAAATAAGCATTTAAGGTTGATAATAGCACACTTTGGAGTTGATCTTTCATCATTGTACTAAAAATAATTCCTGCTCTTGGAATCAGGAGAGACCAGAGTTCAAATCTCACTTATGTCATTTATTAGCTGTGAGACTATGGGCAAGTCACTTAACCTCTCTGATACCCAGTTTCCTTATTCTGTAATAAGGGTACAATATCAGTAGTTGGTGACTGAAAGATGCAGCTTGGCATAATGGTTAGAAGACTGACCTTGCAGGCAGGAGGACATGGGGTCAAGTCTTTCTTCTGACCTATACATACTAGCTGTGTGATCTTTGGCAGGTCATTCAGACTTGAAGTTTTCCGCATGACTCTTAGAAAATGACAAATGCTGGAGATGGTTTTTTTTGGGGAGGGGGGAAGAGGAGAAATAGAGAAGGGAACAAGTATTTATATAGCACCTACCATGTGCCAGGCATGGTGCTAAGGACTTTACAATTATTATCTCATTAGATCCTTACAATAGCCTTATGTGGTAGGTGGCTATTATTATCCCCATTTTGTTGTTCTTCTTGAGTTATTTCAATAATATCCAACTCTGTGACCTCAAGCTAGTGCTCTATTTATTGTATAGGTTCCCAAAGTGGACAATACAGTCCCCTGGGGGCACTGCAATGATGGGGGGGTTGGGGAGGTGGTAGTAGCCTCAGGTACAATTGGGGGGTGTTGAATAAAAATAAGGAGGTGGTGGAAACATAAGGAAAGAAGAGAAGACAATTTGAAAAACCATTCATATGTTTCATCTGTTGTGTAACAAGAGTTAAAGCTTTGGTGATTACATTATGTTCCAAATAAACTCACAAAATGCAAGTTATAATCCATCAGTGGTCAAGTCTGCTGACAGGTCTTAACAAGCAAGTGTTGGCAGGTGAGCCAGTCACACATCCTCTGGAAGTCCAGCATGCATTGGCAGGAATATGTACATTTAATGACTTGTTTACAATACAGTACTATATGGTTACATGATGCAATATTGCACCATCAGAATTTCAATGCAAGAAGAAAACCACAAATTTATAATAAATTATTCCATTTAAGATGCATCATTTTTTTAAAAAAATATTTTTTTGAAATGACACAAATTTTAAAAAAACATTAAAGGATTAAAGAAAGTTGATTTCCAAGGGGCTCCTGAGTAAATTTTTTTTTAAGAGGACAGTAGGTCAAATAAGTTTGGGAACTTCTGAATTCTATTGTATCTCCTAGCTGCCCCAGGAGGCCATGCCTCATAGAGAGTAAATGAATTATCCATGTTCACAGATCTAATATGTGTCAGACATAAGACTCGAACCCAGACCTCTCCTGATTTCGGTTCCATCACTCTTTAAACTGTCACAGAAGAAACACTATTAATTCGGTATTCTACGTTTTAGGCACAAATCTGCCAGAAAGAATTTTATTTAATTTAACATTATTATTCAAACATTTCAGGGGAGGAGTGGGGAGAGAAAGACCGAGACAAAGAGACAGACATAGAAAGACAATGTCCAAACTGGCATGCTTTACCATCACCCCATTTCCCATGACCTTGGACATGTCCTTTTACCCCAATGAAACTTGAGGTACCATTTATAACAGTCTTGAACAGGGGAAAAATAATAATATATTAAAATATAATTTGAGGTAACATTCCAGAACAATAGTCAGTACTAGATTCTTTTCTTGAATATTTTCCTTAAGGATTACAAGAGTGTTTTCCTAGAAATCAATATCCTAGTCCTTTATAAATGGAGAGAGATGTATCATAGCTCACTTGTTTTAGGATGTGGGGAGCAAAAGACTCTTAACCAGACAAGAGGTGCTCTTTGTTCAAAATTTATTTTCTATCCGTAATCCATTTCCTTAGGAAGACCTTTTGCCTTCAATTTATCTTCATCTTTCTTGGGGTGGGGGGAGGGGAGAAGACAGAAAGTCTGGAAAGGGCTGCTAGGTCAAAGAAATATTTTTCTTAAAAATTTCACTTGAACTAAAAAGAGGTTTTTAAAGGTACTTCCATGCTTCCACTATTTTTTATTATTTTTTTTAGTGAGGCAATTGGGATTAAGTGACTTATTCAGAGTCACACAACTAATTAAGTGTCGTGTGTCTGAGGCCAGATTTGAACTCAGGTCCTCCTGACTCCAAGGCCAGAACTCTATCCACTCCGCCACCTAGCTGCCCCCATTTGTCCATTTTAGATCTCAATTTTGTATGTGCTAAGCAGTAGCAAAATATATGGCTCTAGTTGGTTCAAAAGATGGTATTACTTGTGCTTTCAGTTAGTATAGCTAATTTAGAAAAAGAGTGAGGCCATCAGAGCTATTATAGATGTTAGAACAGTGTGCCTTGGGGTACAGAAAGGAATGCATATTGGAGTCTCCAGTCAGCCTTTTACTCTCTAACAGTAGCCAGAAGGATATGTAGATTAGCAATCCTAAGTGGGATCAAGGTAGTCCAATATGAAAGCCAATGCAACTTTATCCTACTGGTCAATTGGCCCAGTAGATAGAACAGATATTCTGAAATCTATATACTGATTTTTTTTTATTATAACTGTAACTCTCATCTGGAGAACATCCTCATTATTTATACAATCCAACAAATCGTATTGAGTATTGTAACTATACCTCATCTCAACTTCTGGAGCACGCTGCAACTGGGTGGCTGGAAAGGCGCAAAGTTCACTAATACCTTGTTTTTTACCAGACATTTGGCATCATTCCAGAAGCACATACTATTAACTGACTAGGCTTTCTTGAGGGTTTGCACGCCCATTTGTCATGATGGACTACTCAGTCCTACATGAATACTTCCATGCATCCTTGAGTCATGACCTAGATTCACTTCTTGGGGTCATTGGCACGGAAGGGGCATCATGAAAGGTTACACTCTCAATCTAGGAACCTCCAGTAATAATTCCACGGCCAAGATCGGAAGGAATTCCTGCTTCTTTGAACTGATAAGCCAACATTGATGAGTAAGTTCATCAGGTATGGCCCACTGCTTATTCAAGGAATTCTGAACCTCAGATCATTGCTTTGTCTACGGTGTTCTCTATAGAGCCTGCTAGACAATTTCATTCATCGATGAGGAGAATAGAATGCTCATGGGGTTCTCCAGTTTAGTAATGATGTGGAGCCCTTCTAAACCCATCTGGAGCTGATTTAATAGGTTTCTACAATAAGCAAGGCACTGGGCTTTTATAATTGTACCAGCTAGTGTACACTCCAGATTGAAATGGCATTGTTGTTTTTATCACGGAAATATCCAATTAAATATGGCTTACCTCCCCTAGATAATTAGGACACTTAGATGGTAGACAGGTCTAGTTAAGCATCTGAGAGCAACAAGAATATTGGGAAACTATAGGGTGTTGAAGGAGAGAGTAATTTTAAAATCTCTAGCATAGTATTTACAACATTTACCTAATAACCTACTTTTAGATTCTGTGATAAGATAGCAATACGATCCTATCTCAGATCAGCAGTACCAGGAATTATGGCTATAATCTATTACCTTACAAAATGTAGTAACAGTAGAAAGAACAGTATGACCCTCAATGATAACAATTTATACATCATTCATTACAGACATTGTATATACCAGTATACACAATACCTCATGTAAATGAACAGATTTCTGGCGATTTAGATTTGTTGTTGTTCAGTCATGTCTGACTCTTTGTGTCCCCATTTGGGCATTTCTTGGCAAAGATATTGGAGTGGTTTGCCATTTCCTTCTCCAGATCATTTTTTCAGGTAAGGAAACTTAGGCAAACAGGGTTAAGTGACTTGCCTATGGTCATGTAGCTAGTAAGTGTCTGAGGTCAGATTTGAAATCAGGTCTTCCTGACTCCAGGCTCAATGCTCTATCCATTGGGCCACCTACTTGCCCAACAGGAGAGTTCATTGTCCAATTTTATTTAATTTAATTAATTAATTTATTTTTGGTGAAGCAACTAGAGTTAAGTGACTTGCTTAGGGTCATGCAGCTAGTAAGTGTCCGAGGCCAGATTTGAACTCAGGTCTTCCTGACTCAAGGCCCAATGCTCTATCCATTGGGCCACCTACTTGCCCAACAGGAGAGTTCATTGTCCAATTTAATTTCATTTGTTTATTTTTTGGTGAGGCAGTTGGGATTAAGTGACTTGCCTAGGGTCACACATCTAGTGTCAAGTATCAGAGGCTGGATTTGAACTCAGGTCCTCCCGACTCCAGGGCCAGTGCTCTATCCACCAAACCACCTAACTGCCTCTCATTGCCCAATTTTAGTTAAACATGAAATAACAACAACACTAAGAACAGCTAACATTTATAGAGAGCTTACTTTGTGCTGGGCTCTGTGCTCAGTGCGTGACAATTATTACTCATTTGATCCTCATAACAACCAGAGACAGGTTATAATCGGTGCTGTTATGATCCCCCTTTTACAGGGGAGGAAAGTGAGGTAAGCAGAGGTTAAGTGACTTGCCCAGAGTCACACAACTAGTAAATGTCTGAGGGTGGATTTGAACTCGCCTTCTCCATACTTACTTCTCCACTACCTAACTGCCTAGGGGACTAGAAGGCTTTCTTTTAGATAAGATCAAGTACTTCTTGAGGGTGGGGGTGAGGAAATCCTTGTGATCACACATCTTTTTATTATGAAGGGTTTACAGATTTTAAGAACAGTCCCTTCCCAGGCCTTTGTATCTCTCAAAAAAAAAATTCGTAGACACCAAACAAGCCACCAACAAGCGTGAAGAAAATACAAAACATTACTTTTAGTGAACAGAAAGCCGTGGGGTCGTGGGATTCCCAGAACAGATGGGAGCAATTTAGCTCCAGCTCATGCACTTGGCCACCAGAGCCATAAGGCTCTGATCCTTGTGAGGGGCACAAGAGGGGCAAGCAGATTATGATTAAAATCAACTTAGTTCCAGAGCCAGTAGGTGAATTATAATAGTTTACACCAGCATAGTTTAAGGCTTACCTTCAACACGCAAGGTGGCTACAGACAATGATGGTAACAAATCCTTTTTTTTTCCCCGTAAATGACAGATTTGACCTTCCTATAAGGGTTGAAATGGTCTTTTACCTCTCTTTAGTTTATGTTTAATTTAGTTTAGTTTAGATTATGGAAGTCTGTTGAGGAAATGTTGCCCTAGGACCATTGGGGTCTGAGTCACAGAACCATTTCGCCATCAAAGAAAAAATATACTAATATTGCACTCTGTGTTTTAGGTAGAAATCCACCAGAAATGACTATTTAAAATTAATCCAGGATCCAAGCATTTCTATTTTAGAAAGATATCTAAAGTGGTATTGCATAGACCCTTTCCATGCCTTGCTGTCCAGCCGAGTTTGACTCTTTGTGACCCCGTTTGGAGTTTTCTTGGCACTGATACTGGTTTGCTATTTCCTTCTCCAGCTCACTTGACAGATGAGGAAACTGAGGCAAACAGGGTTAAGTGACTTGCCCAGGGTCACACAGCTAGTAAGGGTATGAGGCTGGATTTGAACTCAGGAAGATGAGTCTTCCTGACTCCAGGCCCTGTGCTCTATCTACTATGTTGCCAACTAGCTTCCCCTAGATGTATACCTCTACCACAAGAAATCTAGAACACAGAAAATGTAATGTTATGTTAAAAGTAGTTTGGGGTTGATATCCTAGAAAAACAATCAGTACACTATTGGAAGAATTTTCAGGCTCCTTGCCAACTACTGCACCCAGCACAGTTTACAGACAGGTATATCCATTCAAGAGTGTTACACACACCTTTGTAAGTGATGGACATGTGTGTCCAATGATCCCATGGAGTGTGTGTGTGTGTGTGTGTGTGTGTGTGTGTGTGTGTGTGTGTGGTCTTTCCTCTGGAGCTACATGAATCAGAGTTTGGGTAAAATCATGTTGGTCATATATACCTAGAAAGCAGTCTTGCGTAAGACCAGGTATGGCAAGTAAAAAGAAGGTACATTTTTAGGAAAGGAAAGGGGATGCTAAAACCCTTACAAAGACTATTAGCATAGCTATTTACATCAGACCAAAGAAAACAGTATCTCCTCTATCAGTCAGTCAGTTAGTTAATTAACATTTGCTAAACTCTTACTGCACATTTTTTAGATGGGAAAAGAAAAGGGGGTAAGTTCTTGGAACTAGTCAAAGGCTTTTGAGGTTTGTTTATGTTTTGTTTCGTTTTTATAATTGTAAAGTGATTGGGGAAAGGGGAGTGTGGAAGTAGTCATTCAATACATCGTGTTACAAAGAAAAAGAAAGAAATATAATTAATAACAAATAGGGCGCAAAATGGAGTCAGTTATGTTCTCCTAAAAATAGACTTTTGACTGACACTAACCTTTCCTTGATTCCTCCCCTGGCAAAGGGCTCCACCCAAAAACCAGTATTTCAATTCTTTCTGAATGAAAAAGGGTAGGTCACAGCTCATTTGCTTTATGGTTTGAGAGAAGGAAAAGGATCTTAACAAGATAAAAGGTCTTCTTTATTGGAAGTTTAATTGCCATACCTAATCCATTTCCTTAAGGAAGGTCTTTTGTCCTTGACTATTTGGTCACCTTTTCAAGAAGAGAAAGCAGGAATCTTTTAGACCATATTACTTCTTCATATTTTCAGTTGCACTAAAAAGTTTTTAAAAATCTATTTCTGTAATACTGTACCGCACTGTTTTTGAAAAAGCCAAACAGCAAATATATGAATGATCAGAATCACAATATGCTTGACTTGGAGGGAACTTTAAAGATAATTTGGTACCCACGTGTCAAGTGTGGTCTGACCCAGATTAAAATGGAATTGGGAAATATTTAACAAAATAAATTTTTAAAAAATTTACATATATTTAAAAGGAATAGCAAGTTGTACATAATAGATTTCAAATTTCATGTGTAATTATTCTTTTTATTAAACTACATAATGGAAATGCTTGTTTTATTCCTTAAATTAAAAATAAAATAAATAAAACATTAAAAAGAGGGATTAAAAAATCGTGAACATGATATTTTAAAATGAAGTCAATTACTCTGAAGAGATGCTCACGTACAAAATAATGGCACCACATTTATATTGGAGTTCGACACCACTTCTTTGGTCAACACCATCATTTTGTGGAGGAGGAAAACTGAGGAACATTGATATTCATGAGAATCTACATAAAAACCAGGCATCCTTCCTCCCCTTATGTCTTGAATGTCAAAGAAATAACTTTTTACTTCATTGACGTCAAATGTGAAATATTTCAGCAGTGTTGTTTTGTGTGTGTGACAAGTTGACATTCTCCCTCCCTTACTCTTTTCCATTTAGCTTCAACCCAAACCCTTTGCAAAGACATACCTTTTGGACGATCATCATCGGTGGAACCTTCACGTGGACTGCCATCTACGGTGTTAACCAATCTCAAGTCCAGCGGTTTATTTCCTGCAAAAATAGATTCCATGCAAAAATGTAAGAAAAATTCCAGTATATTTATCAATACTCTTTAAGTGTTCTTTAGTCTTTATTAAAGACTACTTCTTTTTATATAATTATATAACAACAACGATGACAAGAGGCAGCTTGGCGTAGGACAGTAGTTCCATATATATGTATATATGTATATGTGTATATGTATATATGTACATATACATATATGTATACACACATGTAGTATGTTCTGAGAATCCATTTGAACAACAAAATAAAATGTTGTGAACTTCTGGGTTAACTTAATGTTCTACTCATATTCTTTTAGATTTATTTATTAAGTGCTTACAATAATTACACTGATAAATTTTGCACCCAAATCTCCAAATTAAAATTTAGTTTATATAATTATAAAATATTTTATTCTACTTCTAAATATGAAAACTGATGTAATTGCTATATGACCCCCCAAATTATTGTGAGCATGAGCATGATCAATCACTGCAGAAATAAATCTATAATGTCCCAAACATGTGCATGCTTATTGTCACAGAGGAGAAACATATTTGTAAGATAATGGAGCAACTTCTTACTGTTTACTGCTTAAGGCACTTTTAGGGCGGCTAGGTGGCACAGTGGATAGAGTGCCAGGCCTGGAGTCAGGAAGACATCTTCCTGACTTCACATTTGGCCTTTGACACTAGCTGTGTGACCCTAGGTAAGTCACTTAACCCTGTTTGCCTCAGTTTCCTCATTTGTAAAATGGACTGGAGAAGGAAATGGCAAATCATTCTAGTATCTCTGCCAAGAAAACCCCAAATGGGTTATAAAGATTGGAACATGATTAAAACGACTAAACAATAAAAATAACATTTAGCTCAAACCCATTGGGCCTTTGTGTGAATTAATGTACAACACTCTTCCACAATTTTATCAATTGATTTTATATTGTTTATAATTTCTATATAAATTTCTATATAAATGAATATTTATATTTTATAATGTTTATAACACGTAACTGGTCTAAATTGAGCCAGCCTTACAGTGAGAGTAGGGGGTTCTTTATGTGGGGTGATTTGAGGAAATGGCACACTAAGACAAAAAAAATCTTCCTTGCTGGCCCACCCCAGTGCCCAAAGTTCCCACCATTAGAACTATATTCTTTAGGTTTGAGGAAGCATTTCATGAGTTCTTCATTAAAAGGCAGATATCCCTAGAAGGGGCAACAGATTAAACCACTGTTATCCATTAACAGTTTAGTATGAATGAGTTTGAGAGGTAGTCTAGCTTAGTGGTTAGAGAGTTGCCCTATGAGTCAGCACCTGCTTCCAGTCCTGCCTCTGCGCTCAGTCTGCCAAGCTAGCTGTGTGACCCCTCAATGCCTGAGACAACTCTGTAAGACTATAAACCAAAGAATCAGTGCCTCTCAGCTTTGGATTAGGGGGGAGTATCCTCCATGGGAAATCCCTACACCAGAAACATCTCAGTTCTGGACCCCCCCAACTTATCAAAGTAGGGCTGGACAGTCATCTAGCAAGACCATGAGGAAATGGGATGAATGGCCTGAAAAAGGAAAGGTCTGGAGCTGGGGGCCCTATTATACTAATCACTAAACCCAACTCAGTCATCCTTGTAACCCAAGTCCTATGGAGAAAGGTATGGCCGTAGTTTCTCGCCACTTTGTCCTCCATTTTGGATGGCAGGAAGCTCCTAGAAGGACTTCCCTACTGGAATCCCATACACCCTATAGCAAACAAATTCTCAGGCTATCCTGTTAGTATATTCCCCTTTCTTCCTAATTCTTAGTGGAGAGACTTTACCATCAGGATAAGCCCTCTACCCCATCACAGACTTGGCCATTTAGCATTTTGTTCAGTCATTTTTAGTTGTATCTGGCTCTTTGTGACCCAATTTGGGGTTTTCTTGGTAAAGATACTGGAGTAGCCAAGCAAGAGAAATTCACATGCTGGCCGTGTCCAAAAATGTAGGTTTAATTCCACTCCCTGAGTCCATCACCCTTCTGTCAGGATGTGGATAGCATTCTCTATCATTGGTAAGAGTGTTAAATGTCTTTTCCAAAGTCACACAGGTAGTAACAATAATAATAATAATAATAATTATTATTATTATTATAATAACAATAAAAGCTAGCATTTATATAAGGTTTGCAAAGTATTTAACAAATATTATCTCATTTGATCTTCATAACAATTCTGGAAGGTAAATGCTATTATCACCCTCATTTTACAGATGAGGAAATTGAGGCAGATAGAGCTTAAATGATTTACCCAGGGTTAAGTATCTGAGTCTGAATTTGAATTCAGGTCTTCTTGACTCCAGGCTTAGGGCTCCATCCTCTGTACCATCTAGCAGTAATTTTAGTTTCTAAAATCCTTTGAATATAAATGATTGATTTATTAATCATTTGTTTATTCCATTTAGGTCCCTTTACATAAATCTCGTAGGACTCTGGGCAATTCTTACCTGTGCAGTGTTCTGTGGGCTTTCCCTTTATTCAAGGTATCGTGACTGTGATCCCTGGACGGCAAAGAAGGTGTCAGCATCAGACCAGGTTCGGTACCATAGTTTTCCTATGACTGTCTTAGAAGATGAACCAACCAAGAGAATTATAAAATGATCTCATTGTATTTTATTTTTACAAATTAAGGGGCAGCTAGGTGGTGCAGTGGATAGAACACCGGCCCTGAAGTCAGGAGGAACTGAGTTCAAATCCCACCTCAGACCAAACACTTGATACTTACTAGCTGTGTGACCCTGGGCAAGTCACTTAACCCCAATTGCCAAAAAATTAAAAAAAAAATTTTTTAAAAAGGGGCAGCTAGGCGGCACACTGGATAGAGCGCCGACCCTGGATTCGGGAGGACCTGAGTTTAAATCCGGTCTCAGACACTTAACACTTACTAGCTGGGTGACCCTGGGCAAGTCACTTAACCCCATTGCCTAGCCAAAAAAAAAAAGAAAGTATTTTTACAAATTAACAAAACTTAAATACCAAATAAAATGAACATTTCTGTATGTGCAGTAGAACAGAAAAAAAGGATTGTGTGAGCCTGCTAATCTTTCTTATGTTCAGTCTACTTTTCCTGATCTGCTAGTTGGATGAAGAACCCTAGACCCAAAATTAAGATGTAAAAATGTGAAGAAAAAAATTTAAGAGCATGGGATACTCAGTAGAAGTAGTTTTGTTTGAATAACAACTAAAATAGAACTCAGGAATGAATTCTAAAGGTCAGATTGAGTGAGTATAAAAACTGGTGAAAGGATTCTCACTTCTATTTAGTTGGTCATGGACGTCTTTTGAAAAGAAGTGGTCCTGGAATCATGCATCAGAAACTGAGTTACCACTTAAAGAAATCACAAAGCCCCAGGAGAGTATTTGTGGTTTTTTCTGAGAACAAATTCCTGAATGCAGTCTATCTTCTGACTAGTTTCATAATGAAAATAAAACAGGTTCATCCCAACAATGTTTGCTGAATTCTAATTTTGAAAATACTAGTAAATCAAGTACTATCAGTTCAGTTGTTTGCTAGTTTTACACATTGTCATAAAATACACTCTGTGGAAAATTTTATTTATGACATCTTTGAAAATCTTTTGGCAATTAAATTTTCCAGTAGAAAAGGACATCTGTTTTAATTAATGAACATTTAGCAAAATACCCTTGTTTTAAAACTAAGCTTCTATGAAAATAGAAAAACTTTCATTTTATTTGACACTAACAGAGTTTATTTCAAGGAACCAGGTTAGTATATGTGTATATGCATACATACATGCATACATATATGTATTATAGATATGCATGTATATATTTTCAACCAACCTGGTTCCTTGACATTAACTCTACCAATGTCAAATAATAGAAAAACTTTCATATGCATATATGCACGTATATATGTGTGTGTGTGTATGTGTGTTTGTGTGTGTGTGTATGTATACACACATTTATTTATTTTTAATCAGCTGTCTACCTGACAGTGATATCTCATTGATTCAACTTATGGACCCAGATCTTTTTCATTAAGGAAATTAAAAGAATAATTTTCACTCATATAATGCTTTAAAGTTTACAAAAGACTTTCCTTACAACAATGCTATGATGCTGGTTGTAAAAGTATTATATATATTACACTCATTATTATAATATATCATGCAATATGTTTATAATACTATTATTATATTACATAATAATGTAAAATAATATATCACATTATATAATAACATTACTACTAACTTATATAATATTACTATTATAACATATCATACCAAGTATTATATTATAATGTATTACATATAATACAATATATGTAATATAAATTACACCCATTTTACAAATGAGGAAACTGAAGGTCTCATAGCTTAATTGACTAGACTATGGTACCACAGCTACTAAGTGCCAGAATTTGAACCCAGGTCTCCTGACTCCAATTCCAGGGGGTCTAACCACTATATTATGTTGGAATTATAAAAACTACTATTATAGAAATTATTTTTATGAAAAAAATTGATTTCCTCTTTCAGGATTTTGATGAAATTATGCCATCAAATATGCTCCTATTTTCAGTAGAACCTTTGCTTAGAATTTTGTTTGGAGACTGCATTGAAGAGCGTAGAGAAAATTGTGGTTTTCAGAAGTGTGATGTTCTTTCAATGTCAATATATAATTTGCAATTGAGAGACAAGTCACCTCCTCAAGAGTCTAGTGCAAACTGATTTTAAGGTGTATTCCTTCATACTTGACTAAGAATCAGCTCAAATGAGATGAATGAGAGGGTCAACACTTCCTAGGGAGCTGTCTGTGGTTTTTCACGTTACTACTGCAGAAACGTTTTGAATGTTGGTTACAAGTCAGAGAATCCTCATAATAATAACAAGGATTTTCTGAAAGGTGAGAAAACCATTTAGGGGAAGGCTGCTTAATCTTTTTATTCCCTAATCTGTGTCTTCAAAGGGCTGCGTGTTCCACTGTCCTGGAAATTCTATAGCTGCCTAGTTTTCCCTCCATCTTTATGAGAAAGTTCCAAATGCCCAAAAAGGAAGCTGACCTCAAGGACTTGTTTGAGAAAGCAAGTGCCAGGGTCTGTCTTGGGTTTCATAGTCATTCGGACCTGTTGTTTAGAACACCTGATTCAGATGCAGGCATTCTGAAAAGAACAAGGGAGGGTTTTGTTACTGAACTTGTGATACAATCACCCTGCCCCAGACCTTGTTGTACTCCATGCTTAAGACTTCAGGCAGCTTACAGCATAATCTGACACATAAGATTTGTCCAGGAGTGCATTCAACACATAGACACTCGAGGAAAACTAACTCCCCTAAACCACTGTGCCATAAAAAGGTATCAGCTGGTTTTCTTGCTGTTCCTTTGGCCAAGACAATCAGCTTAGCAGCCACAGTTTGAAGGCCAGTTTTGGAACACTAGCCCAGAGGCTGTGTTTCCCTGTTTTTGTTTTTTGGGTTGAGTGACTTGCCCAGGGTCACACAACTAGTAAGTGTCAAGTGGTTGAGGCTGGATTTGAACTCAGGTCCTCTGGACTCCTGGGCCAGTGCTCTATCTACTATACCACCTACCTGCCCCTGTATCCCTCTTTTTATTTGTTACCTGTAGATCGCCACACAGAGAGACCAATAGTTTATTAAATCTATTGATAATACTTGCTGCTTTTCTGTCCCAGAAGCTCAAATGCTCTGCCTACCTTTAATATGCTAATACTCACCCGATACTGTACACATCTACATGTACATCTTTATTATAATCCAGGTGTTCTTAACTTGGAGTCTATGGACTTGTTGGGGGCTTGTAAATAGATTTCTTGGGAGGGAGGGGTCTGTAAATTTGCATGAAAAAAATCTTTATTTTTTAAATAATTTATTTCATTTATTTTTATTTTTAAAATTAATTAAAACTTAATTATTTTAATTTATTTTATTAAAATTTTATTCACTTATTTATTTATTTTCCTTTTTTAAAAATTTACTTTCCTTCCTTAACCTCTAACTGAAATTTAGCATTTCCTTCAATTGTCAATATTTAAAAAAAAACAAAAAACACCTTATTCTGAGAAGGGGTCCATAGTTGTCATCAGATTGCTATAGGGGTCCATGACACACATACAAAAGTACGCAATATAATTTAGAAATATTTACTTTTAAAAAGGTAAAAAAAAAATAAGTTTTGGTATTAAGTTTAACAGTTATCTGAAACATGCATTTGGTTGAAATAGCTCATTCTCTGACAATGATTGAAAAATTGACCTATCTCCTTCATCAGTAATTAGAATGGTATATATCTGATGATAAGGAGTACACTAGTAAATCTTGGACTTTTTCAGCTCATGCCCTATCTGGTGCTGGACATTTTACAAGATTATCCAGGACTACCAGGACTCTTTGTGGCATGTGCTTACAGTGGAACATTGAGGTATGGACTTTATGTAATTTATGAAGTGTGATTTCAGAGTGGTTTATAAGGACTTTCATATTTCATGAGCTAAAGTTGAATTCCAGCTGTTGTACTGTTTGAAATTTACATATGCATTCTATGTGATACTTCAAGAAACTGTTGTGATTTCATCAATGAGTATACCAACTGAGGTCAGGAACCCTCTATGCCTTAGTAGATTGCTCTGAACCAAAAAAAAAAAAAAAAAAATCAACACCTTGAGGATACTATCACTCTCTTCAGATTCAGCATGGGTGATTTTTCAGACAATTGTCCATTGCTGAACCCACACTAGAAGCTTTTCCAACCTTTTAGGAACTTTCCAAACTTTTAGGAACTAGTGTTTATATCCCTAGAGAGACCAGGATCACCTCCATGCCACAATGTGGCATCTCAGTATAACTTTATCCAATATAGTAACTATATCATAGCTGTGCTTATTTCATACCCTTTCTGCACCCCACCCCCAGACTATTAGCTATTTGAGAGTTCCGTATTTAATGACTTCTCATGTGAATACATTGCCATACAACTTCTGAGACTTTAATAATAACTACTAAATGCTAGTAAAATCTCTTTTCCAGAGACTTCACTGTTTTCAAAAAATAGGTGCCCATTTCATTTGTTGAAAATACATAGAAAGGCATTGTAGCATAATGGGTAGAGTGCTAGGAGTCAGGAAGACCTGAGTTCAAATTCTGCCTCTGATACTTCTTAGCTGTATGAACTTGGGCTAGTTACAATTTCTCTGATCCCAAGGCAACTCTAAGACCGTAAAATATAGAAGCATTGCAATCTGTGTTCTAAGAGGGAGCTCCTTCTCCCCCCAAATAAAAAACTATGGATATCTCGTTAGACCAATATGGTTAGAAAAATGGATAAGGACATGCAGAAGGTCTAAGCACCTATTTCCCTGTTTAATTGAATGTATGTGTCCCAACCAAAGATTTTGTGTTCTACCCTAGTAATCCATTGCACTGATTCATCTATTTTGGGAACTTGATCTTGAAGACTCAATCTCTTTTTTTGTTGTTAGGTCATTTCAGTAGTGTCCGACTGTTCATGAGTCCGTTTGGATTTTCTTGGCAGAGATACTGGAGTGGTTTGCCATTTCCTTCTCCAGCTCATTTCATAGATGAGGAAACTGAAGCAAACATGGTTAAGTGACTTGCCCAGGATCACACAACTAGTTAGTGTCTCAGGTCACATTTGAACTTAGGAAGATGAGTCATCCTGATTTCCAGCTCAGTGCTCTGGGCACTATGGCGCCACCTAGCTGCCCCTCAATCACTTTAGTGAATGACGTTGCTGCTCTATATTGGTAAAGGGAATATCCACACCAAGAGTTTCCCATACTAAAGAATCACAGATACAGACTCTCCCTTTCCTTTACCTGCCTCCCACCATTGTAGTATATTTTAATGAAGATGGCCTCTAATAGCCCTTTCGTTAGATATCGAAGATAGATATACACGTATATATACCCATATACATGTAAATACACATATAGATATGCACATGTATATATATATGCATATGTATTTATCTAGATATATGCATATGCTTACATGTATATGTATATACATGTATACCTGGGGGGTATGTGTGTATATGTGTGTGCATATATATGTATGTATGTATATACACATGTACCTATACATATACACATGCATGTTATCCATGTAGCGCTATCTAGGCATATACATGTACACACCCAGATATAATACATGTATATGTATGTAGATAGATCTATATATGTAGATGTATATATACACACATACCCCCAGATATACATGTATATACACATATATGTGTAAATGCATATATCTAAATAGATATACATGCATATGTGTATATACATGTATATATTTAGATGGACAATATATACATATAAATGTATATATATCTAGATAGATGGATACAAACATATTCATAATATATGTATAGATATGTACATATATAGATAGATGGACACACATATATACACATATAGATATACATATAGATACATGTATGTGTGTATATATGTATCTGTCTGGATAGATGGATAGAAATAAATAAATATTTCCTTCAGCTTTATCAAATCATATCTTTCTGAATTTCACCTTTTTTTTTTTTGGTAAGGCAATTCGGGTTAAGTAACTTGCCTAGGGTCACACAGCTAGTGTCAGGTGTCTGAAGCTGGATTTGAACTCAGGCCCTCCTGACTCCAAGGCCGGTGGTGTACTACCCACTGTGCCACCTAGCTGCCCCTCTTTCTGAATTTCAAAGGCAGCCTCGTGCAGTAGAATTCCTGGATTTGAAATCAAAAGATTGGATTCAAGAAATCCCAGGCCTATCACTTATTAACCGTGTCATATGGGGCAAGTCATTTCCTTTACCTGGGCCTCACTTATCTCCTTTGTTAATTGAGGGGTTTGGAATAATAAGGGGACCTCCTGTTTAAAATGAGATACTATGGCCTTCCAGAAAGCACATGAGTAACATTAACAGAGTTCAGGAGAATATAAGCTTCTTGAAGGCAGGCATGGTCTTTCATTTTTATTTCTGTATTCATAGCACCTAGAACAGGGCTTGGCATATAGCAAGCACCTAATGAATGTTTGTTGATTGGATAGTTAATTGAACTGAGTTCAACTGAGTGTGGAAACATATCGAATCAGATAGTGTGGAAACTCCCTGACTCTGGAGTCAGAGGTCTTGAGTTCAAATCCTTCTGAAACTTGCTAGCTACGTGACTTTGGGCAAGTCATTTAACTTCCTTGAATTTTAGTGTCCTTATCTGTAAAATGAGATGGTTTTGCATAGTTTGTTGCTTTCTGGGGTTCCTTCCAGCCCTGGAATGAAGATCCTATGAATTCACTTAAATATTGATGGTCATTACCAATTTTTTTTTCCAATTTCTTCTCTCTGGTTATTAAATATTCATAATGTTCATTAAAATGTAGCAAAGTAAACCAAAATTAAAAGATTGTTCTTTGTCTCCCCAGCACAGTGTCCTCCAGCATCAATGCTTTAGCCGCTGTAACAGTTGAAGACCTCATCAAACCTCACTTCCAATCACTCTCAGAAAAGACTTTGTCTTTGCTTTCAAAAGGCACAAGTGAGTGTCCGTCGAATATTTTTACTTGTTCAGTGACATTGGAGGGGGTGGATGTTTACAAAATAGAGCAGTCTTTATTGCCAGAGGTCAGACTCGGTTCGGGCTGGACAAACATTTTATGAGATCCTAGAGTTAGGACTGGAAGCCTAATTTATATTACATCTAGATTCAGAAGGGATCTTAAACCATCAGAGAGTTATGGAATCTTGAAGCTGGAACCTGTATCTTAACTAGAATTCCCTCTATATCACAGCCATCAAATAGTCATCCAATTTTAGCTCAAAGACGTCCAATGCTGGCAGTGGGAAATGGGGGAAGAAGATGTAATTGCTACCTCCTTGGGCAGCCATGTGACCTTTTGGCGAGTTCTAATTATAATGGAAAGTTAGATAGCACCATAGAACACAGAGCACCACGCCTGAAGTCAGGAAGCTCTTCCTCCTGAGTTCAAATCTGACCTCAGACACTTTGTAGCTGTGTGATCCTGAGCAAGTCACTTAACCCTGTTTGCCTCAGTTTCCCCATCTGTAAAATGAGCTGGAGAAGGAAATGGCAAACCACTCCAGTATCTCTGCCAAGAAAACACCAAATAGGGTCACGAGGAGTTGGACAGGACTGAAATAAATGAACAATAACACCAATTCAGAATAGAAATACTCTACTGCTGGTAAACTAGGATGGAGATATGTGTTTTCCTCTAAACACAAATGTTAGTGGAGGATTAGACTTATAATACAATAGTTGTTAGGCTTATGATCCCCACAGTTAATTCCAGTGGTTCTTTTCTTGATATAATCTAATGTTTCAACTAATCCTAAACACAACACTAGAGTATTATTTATCAACTTTGCATATTGCTTTTCTGGCAGAAAAACACATCTCATTTTTACCTTTTACCTGCGTTGATCAGTGTGGCTATTCTTCAGCCCAGTCTGTTATCTGCTTGTATAAAAGCCTTGAGGAATATATTCCATTGAGAATGTTAACTATCAGCATCAATCTGCACTTGGCTTTCCATCTACTCCTCTAGGTGTGCTGTACGGAGCTCTATGCATTGGGATGGCGGCCCTGGCGTCGCTCATGGGAGCCTTGCTACAGGTAAGAGTTGAATTTTGGCAGCACTGGAAAACAATCAATGATGAGAAGTCACCAGTAAGTTTACTTTTCTCCTAAATGATATTTCAGATTTTCTAGCTTTTGCTCACTCTGGCCACTGGAAGGCATTTTCATAGCTGAAAAATCTACTTCTGATCATTCATTGAAGTGTGAGTGGTGAAGAGAGATTGAGTCTTGGAATGCCTTCATGAGATGCAATTCCTGTGGTTATCACCATCTAGTATCTCTGTGATAAACAGAAAGTGCCTTTTTAGCAGCATGCCTTTCTGTATGTGTGTATATATATGTGTGTACATGTGTGTGTTTATGTATGTCTATATATGCATGTGTGTGGTTGTAGACATACATATGTGCATATATATGACATCTATTTCTCTCTCTTACCACATTCCTTGTCAAATTTGGGTCTTACTGTATGTGTATGTATATATATATATATATATATGCCTATATATGGATATGCATATATGTCTATATTGGATATACATATATAGCATCTATCCATCTTTCTCTCTCTCTGTCTCTCTCCTTCTCTTTCCTCATCTCTCTCTCTTTCTCTTTGCATTCCTTGTCAAATATGGATCTTACTATTTTCTTTTCTGAACCTCTGACATTTAGTGCTCCTTGCCTGTTTTCTTACCACCATATTCCCTATGCTGTGACCCTCTCATATGGCAACCATCATTCTTGGATTCTACCCATATATTTTAGATACGCTAGCTGTCTTTCTAATTAAAGTCCACTGGTCTATATCATGGAACTTTGGAAGCCATTCCAGTTCAACCCATACAACAATGCTCTCTATAACCTAGCTGGCAAATAGTCCTTTAGCCTCTTCTTGAAGACCTTTGATGTCTGTCTCTTCACTACCATTTCATTTTTGGATAGGTTCAGCTAATAAGAAATTTTTCCCTACAATGATTCTAAGTCTGCCTTATATTCTGTGGCTTCCATTCTTCATCCAATTATGCCTTCTTATGACCTCTAAAACCTATTCTAAGTATTTAAGATCATAGACTTAGAACGGGAAAGGACCTTAGAAATCACCTAGTCCAATACCTTCATTCTCCAAATGAGGATACTGAAGCTCAGAGATGTTATGAGACTTGCCCCAGCTCATACAGGAAAGAAGTGGTAAAGTGGGGGATTTAAACCCATATTATGACAGCCCAAACAGAGCCATAGAATTTTGGAATTGGGAAGTATCTTATGGATCATCTAGCCCCCTCCTCTCATTTTATTAAACTGAGGAACAGAAAGGTTAAGTTTCTAGCCCAGAATCACACAACTAAACCAGTGGCTTCTAGTCTCATGTCCCTTCCACTAGACCAGGCTATGAAGTCCACACCCATAGTTTGTTTTTCTTGGTGTGTATATGGGTCAGTCATCACCAAGGTACAACCTAACTCTGGTAGTGAGTGATGTCAGTGCACTGATTTCTTTCTATCTACCTTTCTACACTTTCTCATCCAATATCAGAGTTTTCCTCTACTGCCATCTGTGTATCGAACTCTCTTGTCCTGTACCACTTTGGTGTCCTTCTAGTGCCTCCACTAAGGATTTGACTTTCTTTCTGACTCATTCACAGTACTCCAGCAAGCCTCTTTTCTATTTTGGGAAAGCCAGCATATGTGGTTGGCTCCTGTTAGTGACTTGTGTTCCATTGTTTCCTGTCCAAATGGAAAAGCTGACTTTTCATTAAGAATGTACTTTTCATGGTTAATTTGTAACATTTTATCCTCCCGTTAGGCAGCACTCAGTATCTTTGGCATGGTTGGTGGACCGCTTTTGGGCTTGTTTTCTCTGGGGATCTTGGTCCCCTTTGCCAACTCAATTGTAAGTATAAAGTATAACTATGAAGACAATACCCTTCCCCAAAGTGAATGAATGAATGAAAAAGCATTTATTAAGCACTTACTGTGTGCCAAGTATGATGCTAAGCACTGAGGATAGAAATATAGAGTCCCTGCCCTCAAGGAGATTACACTCTAATAGGGGAAGACAGTATATCTCAGTTAGTGGTGCCAGGGACAGGAGATTTAGTGTTGGGAGTCACCAGGATGGTGGGTTGATGTAGGAGTCAGTCCATTGACTTACTTTTTCCAGAAGTAATGGTACTATGGATTCTGTGCCCAGAACACAGTGGGCAAGGAAGGTAGTGGATGAGACATTAGGAGGCCAGCAGATGGTAAGACAACCTAGGGGGCAGTGGGATGGCACATGGAGATACAGAATCATATAAATCTGGAGATAGAAGGGACTTCAGATACCATCTAGTCTTTATTTTTCAGATGAGGAAACTGAGGCTGATCTAGCTTAAGTGAATTTCCCGAATTCAGGAGGCAGAACAAGACACATTTGTTGTACCTGGCCAATGTGGGAATTTGTTTTCTTGACTACGTATATTTGTCACAAAGGTTTTCTTTTTCTTTTCTTTTTAGTTTGGGAGTGAGAGGAATGGAAGGGAGAAAAATTAGATTTTGACTTGAAAACAATAATTTTAAAACTTTTTTTAAGTCACAAAAAGGTGACTTTCCGAAGATTATACAGATAGTAACAGTCGGGATCTAAGCAATTCTGAATCCCAATCCTGGGCTATTTTCACTTCTCCATCATTATATAATAAAGATTTGCTAACTATATACTATGTGTGCCGGAGTGCTTGGTATGTAGTAGGAACTTCAACAGATGTTTGTTTACTGCTTTATATGTGCCAGGAACTCTGACCTGTGAAAAGTTTGCTTCGATATTCCACCCATTCCTTTTTCCTTCCAAAGAAAACTATTTTTTTCCTCTCAAATGTACTTCTATTTTACAGGGTGCCTTTGTAGGGCTCACTACTGGATTTATTATTTCCCTTTGGATTGGAATTGGAGCTCAGCTTTATCCCCCCCTTCCAGAGAGGACTTTACCCTTGAGCCTTGTTACCGATGGTTGTAACATAACCAACTCAGACTCCCAGGGGAACTGGACGATGACCACCACAGAAATGCCACTTTCTACTAGTGCTCTTCAAATTCACAATGTTGAAAGGTAATTGAAATAAGTTTTATAATATCATTTTTTAAAGCTAAGTAAGAGACAAGTAGAAGACATAAGACTCCTAAGACTGTCACCAATTTGCCTTGGGAATCATTGACATATGTATATTTTGGGTTTGTCATACTATATACCTCCATGGATCTTGAATTTACCAATACAGATCCCAATCCCAATCCATGCCTGCTAATCCTATTGGACTGTCCACCGCCATGTCTTCTCGTAAGGGGGAGCCAACATAGCATGATGGTGCCTTTCCTCTGGTTCTCTTACCACTTTATGGATACCAATGGAGCATATTGACTACCCATTGCTTTTGATATGAAACTTGTAGATCAATCTTATAATGAAACTTTCCCCCTCTTCTTTCTAGAACTCCCTTAATGGATAACTGGTATTCCTTATCATATCTGTACTTCAGCATGATTGGAACCCTGGTCACTCTACTTGTGGGAATAATTGTTAGCCTCCTAACAGGTACCTGTTTCTACATCGTTATTCTTCTGAGATAACCTTTACATGGCAATTTACAGTCACTTTTATCACTGATTCTATATTACAGTTCTGGTAATAGAATACATGAATTGTTTCCTCCAATTTATGAATGGCAACCTTGAATGATTTATTTCAACAATAAGCATTTATTAAGCTCTCATTAGTAGGGTACACTGCACTTAGGTACTGGGGATAGAGAGATAAAAATTAATTTTTCTTATTATGTTTTGCCATCAATCCACTTTCTCAGGCCTCAGTTTCCTTCTCTTCTTGGATACTTTCCTAAGAGAACAGGTTTAAGACTAAGAGAAAGAAAGAAGAGGATTTTAGTAGAGGACATGGTTTCTTGGGGAGTTTGATTAAGGACTGATGAGATGTCTCTTCTTCTGGTAAATCTGGAAAGGAGAAGTTTTAGACTGGAGAAAATTTTATTTTTGAATTTTCTCAGTTTACTTAAAAGTGGAAGTTTGGAATATGCTTCTGTAACTGGCTGTTTTTGGGTTGGTTTTTTTTTTTTTGTTTTCAGGAGGAAGAAAACAGAGCACAGATGACAGATTCCTACTAACAAAAGCAGACTTTTTATCCAACTTTGACTTTTTAAAGAGGGTATGTATTTTTTTTCCTAAATAAGATCACTCCTATCATTTTGTAACAGGAAAGGATTGCCTTCCTCTCCTTCTTCACTCCTCCCCTCCCCAAACATAGTGGTGAAAAAAGACCATTAATAGTCCTCTAATGATACTTCCACCAAAGTCTTACTCCAGTGGGGATGGAGGTGACCTGGGAGGTCAAAGCCTCTACCAATAAAAGGGAGCTGTGGCAGGTTCTATCAAGTGGGACCCTAGTGCCTAAAGACCCCTCTAGCTAATTTTATAAAGGTTTAGCACTAAAAGTTTGGCCATTAGGTAATGATTTTTTCCCCCAGTCATGGTAACTTATGAAATCATATGCTAAAAGTTGAGGGAAGAAGCATTGTGTCATAGTGGAGAGAGGGCTAGCCAGGAAGACCTGGATTTAAATTCTGCCTCTGATGCTACTGGCTGTGTGATTTTGGGCAAGACACTTACCTTCTCAGAACCCAGGCAATTCCCCAAGACTTTGGGTTGCAGAGTGGTTATAGGTCTACAATGAGAGTTGTTCCTCATACTAATGAAATTATGAAATCACAAATGCCGATTCTCTTTCTCTGTCTCTCTATCTTTCTTTCTGTTTCTGTGGCTGTCTCTTCCCATATACAGGATGTCTCAAAAGTCAAAGTGCAGTTTTAAGCTTATTAAAGTTAATTAAAGCTTAAAATTGCACTATGACCTTTGGGACACCTGATAGGTTTGTGTGTGTGTCTGTCACATAAGGTAATATAACACAATATAATATAACATATATGGTATAGATAGGTGTATACCTATCTCTGTGTGTATAAATGTGTGTGTACATATACCTACACACATATATTTAAATCATTGGTTTTTGCAATGTTAGTGTTCTTGTGCAAGTTGTCCTCCTGGATATGCTCACTTCACTTTGCATCAGTCCATACAAGTCTTCCTGGGTTTCTCTGAAACATCTCTTTTTTCATTTCTTAAAGTACAATAGCATTCTGCTACATTCATGTACCATAATCTGTTGAGCCATTCCCTAATTGATGGATTTCCAATTTTGACATCACAAAAAGAGATGCTAGAAATATTTCTGTACATACAGGACCTTTTCCTCCAAAAGTGATTTTTATCAGTGCATAAATACATTCATATATATATATATATGTATATATATATATACACACACACACACAACAAATACAAATCTGTGAATAAACACGCAGTGTATATATGTATATACACATACATATGCACATGTGTGTGCATACATATGTTTGAGAAGGGGTTATATATAGAGGAATTATCCACTGATGAAAATCTTTTTTGAACTTGTGAAGTTTAATGATATGGGTTTGTTCTGTATTACTCCCTCATTAGAATAGGAAGCCAATAATAATAATAACTGGAATTTATGTAGCATTCTAAGGTTTACAAACTACTTTATAAGTATATCATTTTATTTATTTTTATAATTTATCTCATTTTGTTTATTTTAAAAACAACTACCCTGAGAAGTATATATATTATTATCCCCATTTTGTAGATTAAGAAACTGAGGCAGAAAAGAGTTAAATTCTTGCCCAGGGTCACACAGCTAGGAAGTGTCTGAGGCTAGATATGAACTCAGATCTTCCCACCTCCAGGGCCAGCATTCAATCCACAAAAAAAGAAATTTTTTAAAAGCATCAATAATTTGCAATTGTGTGTGTACATGGCCCATCCTACCCTCATTCCTTAGTGAAAATTCAATTTTCTTGCTTCGTGATGGCAGGGAGTTGATGCTGGGGCCTTGAAGGCTCTGCTAATGGAACCCAAGGTCTGGTAGGCTCTTCCCTAGTTGGAAAGGCTTTGAGCTGGGCAACAGAGAGGTTCATCACCAAAAGGCTGGCCACTAGAGGGAAATGTTGGTCAGCTACAACAACTCTTGGAAACCATCTAGTAAGACAGACAGGGGTGTGATTTCCACTCGTGGGGGGAGAACCTTGGCCGATGAAGCTACTCATCTTCAAAGTATTGATGTAACCAGTTAACCTTTCTTTTTAGGAGAAACTAATTTTAAACCACCAACCTTATGCAATGGAAGATGGTGGCACTTTTAACCCTGCCTTCAACCACATTGAAATGAACTTCACAGAAGGCAAAGGAAAGACCAATGGGGTGCATTTCTGAGGCAGCTCTTATACTATATGAACTTGAATGCCTTGACATTTTTTATATTTTTTTTCTAAGATGATTGCATTGAATTTAGATTTTGTTTTAGAACACCTCTGCATTTTTGTACACTCTGCTGGCTGGTCACCGAACCTCTTAGCACTTCAGGTAATGCTCTAAGACTATAAGGGGCAGAGAAGGTAATGACTGGCATTGGAAAATGGGAGTTTCCTCACTTGAGAGTTCCTCATGCCAATGAAATCACACGATTTGTCCCCATTCCTATCCCTATACGCTTTCTGTTGACCTTCCTTTTTTTTTCTGATCCATTTTCTGATCATTCCGATCCACTTCTAACTTGACTTCATTTTTGGGTTCCAATCAAGTCTCATCCTAGTACTGATTCTTTTGGTCCTGGTTCTTCCTGTTGGATGGAAGATGGAAGACTGTCTGCTTTCCTTGGTCCTGGTGCTGACAACTCCGCCTCCCCACAATCTGCCATGAAAAACAAACTAACAAAACCATATACGGTACCTTTTATTCTGGATTTGACATCCCAAGAAAATGTCTGTAATCCAAAGTGGATCACCTAGAAATCAGATCATTCCATCACATCTATAATCCAGAATGGATCACCTAGACATCAGATGATACTATTACACCATAATCCATAGTGGATCTCCTAGAAATCAGATCATTCCATTACATTCACAGTAAAGTCTTTGAGAGCCTAATTTAAAGTCACTAAAATCAAGACCAATGTTTCAATGACTAGAAAATGGTTTTTTTTTTTCTTTTCTTGCCTAATTATTCATTCAGTTTAATAATTTAATCACTGTGCAAAAAACATTGAAATTTTTCTAGAATGATGTCCTTCAGCTCCTTAGATACAAAAAGCTCGAAGTTGATTCATTACTTATTTTATCTTCTTTCCAGTGTAACTATCTGGTATCAGGATTTCATTGTAAACTTCTTCTCTCCACCCCCACCCCCCAATACCTACAACATATGCTTATTTGAGAAATGTGTAGGGACCAAGTTTTTTTTAATTATGGTAACTAAATATTTGAAAGATAGCCTGGCTTTGACACAGTGGTATCAAATGCACATAGAGCTGCATATTGACTTAGAAAACAACAGATTAACATTATCTGTGTTGTCTTTTTATTTATTTTTGTTAAACATTTTCCAATTACATCTTTAATCTGGCTGGCAGGAATTGGCAGTTTTGTCCTTGGCTCTCTGCCGCCAAGTGGATAGAAAGCTAGCCTAGGAGTAAGGGAGGCTTGGGTTCAAGCCTTGCCTTTCTGAGAAATCCTGACTTTGTGAGCCTTGGGCAGTAAGTCACTGAAGAGCTCAGTGCCTTAGGCAACTGTCTAAGCCTATGAATTGCAGAATAGGTCCCAACCTGCTTGGATAAAGAGAATTATATCACTGGGATTTCTATCAATGAAATTTCAGGAACAGTTAAAAAAAAAAAGAAATATTTAGATGTCTTTTAAAAGTTTTAAAATAAGAAAACAATTTCCCAGTTGCTTCTTGTCCCCGATATTTGAGTAATAGTATATCGTAATACCATGTTGAAATGTTTCCAGCTCAAAATTTTTTAGAAAGCATTATTTTCAGCAAAGAATGTGAATATTCATACATTTATTGAATAACCATTTATCAAGTGCCTACTATGAACCTGGCACTGTTCTAGGTGCTAGGGGTGCAAAGAAAAGAAACAAAGCAGTCTCTACTCTCAAGGAGTCACAGCCTATTGGGACCCATAAGATAAACATACATGCCTATATTGCATCTGACTAAACTATTTAATATGCATATGCTTCAGATACTTATGGAATTCTAGTACTGATGCTTTAAAAAGGCATCTTGGTGTGTTGGGCAAAGTGCTAGTTTTCAAATCAGAAGTCATGGGTTCAAATTCTAGTTCTGCTTATTTCTAGCTGTGTGAACCTGGGAAAGGTCACTTACTCAGAGCTCCCAGTTTCCTCATCTGTAAAATGGGGAGAATAATATAACACTACCCACCTCACAGGGCTGTTATGAGGAGAATGCTTTCTTTGAAAAACCTTTGAGTGCTAGAGAAATGTGAGCTACTATTATTTGTAAGGAAAAAAATGTTATTAATCTTTCTTATAATTTTATAGATGAGCAAGATATTGACTTTTTTGTTTTTGTATCTAGTTTGATTGAAATCATCTTGATATTTATTTCACAATTCTGTATGTTAAATGAATATTCATATCAGGAATGTAAATATGGCACTGTCTTGGAAATGGAAATCAAGCATCTTACTATTGACCCCTTTATTTGAACAGAGGGTTCAAGTGACCCTGTCATATGGGAAGCTAAGGCTATAATTCTGACCTATGCATTTCTAGAAAAGGAAAATATTCCATTAACCACATTAGGAGGATCAATGAATTATATTATATTCTTGGAAGTGGACTTGAGATAAAGGCAGACACTAAGGAGCTGAATAATGCATATGATATAATCTTGGAGAATTTTCTTTCCTTTTTAATTTTGGTATATTGAGGGCAAAGCTGAAGTGATGGCCATAATCTGTGCTATCCATTGTAATCAATAGGGTGATGTCATCTGTCTTGACCCATCCTGAAAACACAAAAGGCTTTATTTAGCTGAGGGCAACCTATGCATGATTCAAATGATTAACTAGTGATAACTAGTGTTTAGTTAGTGATTCAAGGTTTGCACAGCATTTTACATGCTAACTCATTTGATTTTCAATTTATCTAATTCTCCAACATCCCTGAAGTGAGTGCTATTATGATCTCCATTTTACAGATCAGGAAACTGAGAAACAAATGATCAGCCCAGGGTCACACAACTAGGAAGTGTCTAAGGCAGGATTTGAACTCAGGTCTTCCTGGCTCCAAGTCCCACATAAATATTTATGCTACTAGCTTCAGTGGAGAAACCATGGAAAAAGTTCAAGTGGGCTTTGGATAGTGGGCTTTTGGATAGATACTGGACCTGGAGTCAGAAAGACTGGGTTTCAACTCATCTGCAACACTTGCGTAGCCTCTAGGAATCTTAGTTTCCTCATCTGAGAAGTGGGCATGTAGTCAAAGAGGTGCTCAGAAGAGTGTAAGCAAGGGGAAGAGAAAAACTATTGGTAATATATGTAGCAGGCTGTGCATATCCTCTTAGGCATACCTATGCCTGAGTATCTCCCTTACAGGTATATAAGATGATGTGTATAAACTCCTTTGCAAGCCATTAAGCACTATGTATACTCTATATACATACATATATTTATAGAGTCAGCTACATTCTGTAGGACCTTGGTGATGTCACTTAGCTGCTAATGAAAAACATGCTTTATACCTGCCTACCTCTCAAGATTAATGTGAGCCACATTTGTTATATGATGACCTGGGGCATTTCTACTGCTTAAGAACTGTCACTATCATGATATTCTGTTATTGGCATCAGCATTTGCTTCGTAAGTTATTAACTGGGTACCTTTGCACGTGTTAGGTTCTATCCTACCATCTGTTGTGAAAAAACCTTGTGAGTCCTTTCTGTTATAAGAAAAATTATTGCATTGTTTCTGCTTACTTATCTTCCTTGATTAAACTTTCTGGAGATCCTCTATTAATTGTGTATTTTTGGGGGGGAGGAATAAATATCAACTGAGTTTCATTTATTTTATATCATACTCTTTACAGAAGGATGCCTCACCTCCTGTATCAAGAAACTTTCCCAAATAGTATAAGTATTTTGTTCAGGCATCTAAAGAAAGACTCCCCTATTATTTTTGGTTATTGATTGATATTTGATAATGTTAATTCACCAGTAGGCATGCAGATTGTTAAAAGTCTTGAAGCATCTTTGCTAGTTATGATTTCTAAAGTGATTTAGTAATGTTCTTTGGGTTTTTTAAAATATTACTCTTCCCAATAACTCCCCTTCTCAAAAACTAGAATTTTTACCTCCTTCCCCCAAAGAAAAACAGTTATGTAAAATAAATTAATATGGTGACTGTATATATAACAATCATACCTCCCCACTCCCCAATTCTCTACTGATAAGACGGAAACATGTTTCAGCCTCTAGAACCAAGTGTACCTCGCATTCTGGGTTACTCTTAGAACTTATACTCACATTTATCAGATTGGGTCTCCAGAGGATGGCTGCTACTTCCAAATTCGAGTGTACTGTGTACATTTGTGCTCCTAAAACTATATAGCCTGTGAGCCCCTGCTGGTGGGCTTCCTATGAACAGTCAGCCTGCTAAAAGAATTAGCTCAAAACAGTGGCAATTACTAAGATGTCATACTAAGGACAGTAGCTATAAATGATTCCCCCCATAAAGCAAGGACAGATTCTCCCACAAATACACAGAGTGTTCATGGGTAGAGTGAGCACAAACTTAAGAGGACGAGAGTGGTAAGGTATGCTCACAGAAAACATATGTAACTAAGACAATTCGTGTCTGTGGTACTAGAGGCCATAATGCCTTTTTTCTCCTCCTGGAGTTTTTTGGTGAGTTAATTGGGATGAAGTGACTTGCCCAGAGTCACAGAGTTAGTATGGGTATATGTCTAAGGCCGGACTTGAACTCAGGTCCTCCTGATTCCAGGGCTGGTGCCCCACTCCCAGAGTTCCCGCAGTATTCCCCTCAGTATCTCTGCTGGGCAGGTTCTTCTGCTGGCTTCCCATGTTCTACTCCTCTACACAAGAGATCATACCCCTTGAAGCTTGTTGGGTTGAAATGTAAATTTTCCAAGTCACTCCTTGGGTGTATCTAGGTAATGAAAAGTTGATGGAATATTCACTCATTCTTTGGGTAATTTGATTAGTTCATCTAAGCTAGTAAGGGCCAGTGCCTGCCCTAGTATCATTAGTCAATATAATCATTATGTAACTCTGTCTTACTTCAGTTCACACACAGGTCATGTGTCATCACTCCATGATGTCACTGGTCCTCTTTGGAGATGAAAAACAAACAATAGCAACAATGCAATCATCTGTAGTAATTCCCAGATAAATAATTTCCAAATAAAATAATATTTTATCTTAAAGCAATAGCACTTTTCATTCAGGTGTAGAGCCCTCAAATGGAAAATCAAAGGGACATAACAGAAAGGGAGAGTGTCGTAGGGATGAAGGCAGCCCAGTGAACCCCATTTCACATTGGAATGAAGATCCTATCCTCCCACAGCTTCAGTACTATTGTCTAGGATTTTCATGCTGGTTCCCACCACCCTGCCCTGAGCCTCAAAGCTTCCTACCCCAAGCAGACTTGTTGAGACCATTTTTCATTAAACAGCAGTGCAAAGAAACCGATCAGACTTAGAAAAAAGAAGCCTACAAAGAGAGGAGATCGAGGAAGGGAAGAAGAAAATAGGAAAGGAAGAGGGAGGTAGCAGGGAGAGAGGTCAGGATGCTGCTCTCAACTGATGGATTCTGTGAAGACCCAGGCTACTTGTTTTACATTGAGTTGAGCACATGGTTTTCCATTTCCAGGTTAATCATGCCTCTGGCCACTCATGGACAGCACATTGGTCAAGTAAAGAGTTCATATGATTGTGAGTGCCAACTTTTCCTATACGTTCCTCAACAATGCCCTGTTTGATAGTTCAGGAAACTAACTTCAATTCTAAATTCCAACTCTAGAGAATGTGTTTCCCTGTAAAATCAGCACAAGTCTTTATATTTTGATTTTTTTTTTTTGACGGGTCTAAGAATTCATCAATGTAGGGGACTACTGGTAAGGAAACTCTCTTTTCCACTCCAGTTCAAAGTCATCACTTTTGGTCTGGATTATTGCAACAGCTTCCTAATTGGTTGGTTCCACTCTCCAGCAATTTCTACACAGCCACTAAATTGATTTTCAGAAAGTACAAATATGACTATTTCATTTTCTCACTTAATAAACTAGTGGCTCCCAATTTCTTACAGGAAAAATGCAAAATCTTCTGTTTGGCATTCAAAGTGGTTCACAACTTGATCCCTTTTTACCTTTCCAGTCTTATATTGCTGTTTCTCAAGCACAAATTCAATCTCCAGCCTCAGTTCCTCCAACAGCTAAATGGTGCCAACACCTAATAGAATCCAACATGAGCCAAGACCAATTCTCTTGGAAAGACTTCCATTGACAACTTAATAGAAGTGAAGTACCTTTTTAAACCATTAGAAATTTTCTTTTTTGGAGCAGAGCTGCTCAGTTTTGCTGACTCTTCATTTAGCTTCCTGGAATCTAACTGTTTGAGAAGAGGGTCAAGTCTACCAGATACAATAAGAGGTATTTGTGTACGTCTCTGTCCATGTCTGTATTTGTAAGCACCTTATAAATCACATATGATAAGCTTTAAATTATGCCAGTATGTCTATTCTTTAAACTTAGCATAGTATTCAATGCTTAGCACAATGCATAGAACATGGTAGGCATTTAATAAATGCTTGTTGACCTGACTTAGCTTTAACAACTATATCAACTACCCAGTCTAGGACCAAGCCAATTTTAGCCACACTGGATCATTTGAGATCCTGTAAGAGAAGAGAAGGAACATATTTCTTGTCTGAGACCAGTAGTTTAATTGCTCTTAGTTCCTCTGGGAATTCTACGAATCTCATTGGTCTTTGTCCAGGGACTTCCAACTGGTTACAAGTAAAGTTTAGTGTTTCCTCACTTTGCATCGGTGTTGAATTTAGTATATAGAGTTTTGTTCTGTGTTTAAAGACATAAGAGCCTAAGAGGAGGAACTGACCTCAAGGTCAATGAGACTTCCAGAAATGGAAAACAAGTTAGGTGATATCTCTTTGCTTAGAAAAAGGAATATGACCAAGTTCCCTATAGTAAGAGTGGAGCTATAATTAAGCTCCTATGGTCAATAAGCTTTAAGGACATATGTCCCATTGGTGAGGTTTAGGGGTGCTGGAACCCCAAAATCACAACCCCATCATTCCCCCCTCAAACATGTTAGAAATACGCTTGACACCTAAAATTTAGTATCAAGAAAGTTTATTACACAGAAAGTCCAGAGGATTTAGACGTTTCTGGCCAGAAGTGGGCTCCACCCCTCTTCAGGAGGGATGGGCCCCAAGTGCAAGGACAAGTGTGCTTTTACGCATTCAAATTCGATGCGAAACCTCCCAGGCCCATATTGGTCCATCCCTTCCCGGGTTACACCCCTCCTTACATATTTCCCCTTGATATGCTGAAGTATATTCCTCATCCCTTGGTCATACATCCCATGACTCGTTAATGAGGCTCTAATGTTATGCGGGGTGTGTCAGATAATAGTAAGAAGTTCATTAAGCAGGTGTACTAACATTTTTCAGGTGTCCTCAGGTTGACCCTAACTGGTCTGAGCTGGCTCGACCCTTATCTTGAATTTGGAGGCTTTTTGGAGCCATCAACTTACTTCTTATCAGTTAAGCCCTCGCCCACCTACAGTGTACTACTTCCTGGAATTGCTCTTTAAATTGCTGCATTATTCTCTTTCTCTGTGGAAATATAACCTTTACCTGACTCACAAATAAATGGGACCCAAATTCTTTTGGGGTAAGGGGTGAAGGTCTTGGCTTCTGAAACTGCTTCCTGCTGGCAAGGGGCTCAGTGCTGTCCCTGCTTCAAGGGGGTCCCAAAGAGGAGGTTGACTGGAACTGAGCACAGGCTGCATCCAGGGAACGATGAGGGGGACATTGGCTGGTACCCACGGTTTGCTGCCAACTGTAGGTGAATGGCCTGTAGTCTGGAAGACACAAATCTGACAGAAAAGACTGCAGGGCCCAGATATGACAGGATAAAACATCCTTAGCTCTGTTTGGATTCAGATAATTCAGTTTTCCAACCATACAGTATCAAATCCACCTCATAACCAGACTCAGGAATAGCCAGGTGGGTAACATTCCTTTTCAAAAGAACATGATGGGGAAACTGAACCAGGAGGAGCCCATCTTAGACTGAGGCTAAAATTGTCCTCTCAGCTTTTCCTGATGCTAACTTCCCAACAGTATCACGTTATCTGAGTAGCTTGTGATATTTCTCTCAGATGATGGATTATTGATTATTGATGGATTTTTATGATCCATCAGACAACTCAAAATAAAATCCTAGGAGCTTTTACCTCACACAGCAAGTTTCACTAATCACAGTTTAGGAAAAACTTTTCCAGGATTTACATCTCAGACTTAAGTTTGTCCTGGAGTAAAAAGCCAATCATTAGAGATTTCTATACACTTGCAAATTCTCAGCAAGCCATAACCCAAATACGTTTTTTGGCTAGTTTATGCATTAAAACAGTAACCAACAATAGTTAAATTATTTTAGCGGTAACCAAATTATGGAAAGTTGCTTGACATAACTGATACAAAAAGTTTACCAATTTGAAACTTGAAACAATCCCATTACCAATCAGGTGACTTCAGTTTTGTTAAATTCATTTCCAAATTACTTCACCATAGAGAATCAACATCTCATCATTAACAGTTTAAAACGACAAATTTAAAAGAGGGTGCTTACCCAAGGTTGGAGGCTGGCTTCATTACCTTGAGCAGGATGTGCTGAACCTGGGTGATGCTCCCAGGCAAATGTTGCCCTAGGGCCCAAGGCCATTGCCAGTGGGGCCCA